GAGAGCTTAATTACTCACTGGGAAGAAAAACCAAGTCGTTTCTTTCTTTGGAGTTGTTGTCTTACACTACTGTGATCAGTTCTGAAAAGAGCTAGAGCTTTTGTTTGTCAGGGCCCTACAGGCTACCCATGACCAAGATGTGGGGGAGCCCCCAGTTAGATCCAGTGTGTGTGTGTGTGGGTGACCTGAGCAGAAAGGCACCTTAGGTAAAGTACTGGCGAGGGCTGGCTTTCTCTACACAGCTGCTCAGAACCTTGTGTGCTGCTGGGCCACCAGGGTGCCAGGGCCGCTGAGGACATCCTGGCTGGGAAGCACAGGTGGGCTTGGGAGGGATAGGCCCTGGTCAGGGACAGTCACAGCGTTGCCGTCTGTATCTCTAGTGGTGGCACAAAGGCTGAGGAAGCTAGATTTTCCTGTGAAGGACAGTGAAGAGCCCAGCATCCCTGGGGTTGACAAGAATCTCTTCCTGAGACCCCGAGTGCCTGGAGAGAACACTGGGAAGGTAAGTGCCCCTGAAACTTGGGGCCAGAGTCCTGTCCTTTCGGGGCAGAGGGTAGCCATCAGAGCTTACTGCTGCTGTAGGGAATCATACAGCAAGGTGGGCAGAGAAGCAGTTCCCACCACACTGTCCTGGAGAGGCAGCCTCTCTAAGGGGAAGGAGAGTATTTTAAAGCATTGCTGTTTTACCGCCTTTGTGAAAGGGTGGTCTTGTCCAGATCTCAGTCAGTCCTGTGGTGTGAGGACTTCAAATCTTCCTCAGTCTGAGACAATGCCCTCACCACATAAGGGTAGACTGGAAGAGCTGGTATACTTTCCACATGGGCTGGGAAGTTATTGGCACGGTTCTACCTAGGTAGGGAGTCATTTCTATTCAAGACAAGAGCCCATGCCTGTTTTTTTCGTGGATGTTTTACAAGCTCATTTTGTCTCTTAACTACATGGAGAAGGGAGGCAGAGTTTCAGTTCAGCAGTCACCAGGGTTCCAGGTGTGGCCAGTGGGAGAAGGGCAGTTATGACTTAGACTATATTTAGGAGTGGAGAGCCTGGGCTACCTAGCACTGACGTCAGACTAGCTACAGTTGACTGTAAGCGAGTGCTTTCACACCTACTCCAGTGGGTTTGTATGGTTAACCCACTGATAAAAAGGTTGACTTTAAATCACCTGACTTTTCATTTTATGTAAATGAAGGCCATGCTATCTTTCCTATTCTGAACACTTGCCCTTCTGTGTCCCTGCACACTGCTGTCCTCTGCCTGACTTTTCCAGCTATTTCTGGTTTGGGCAGCCTCAGGGGTGTTCCAATGCTGCATGGTGGGAGAAAGTGAGGGCTGACTGCTGCTTACAAAGCCTGTGTCCTGGCAAATGCCTGAGCTGCCAACCCTTCCTGCCCCATTGTCTCCTTCGTTGAACTTCCCTGAGGGAAGAGACCTGCCTCAGGTAGTAAGAACAGTGACTCATAGGGTCCTAGGCCACACACTTCTAAGTGGTAATGGAGTTGTTTCCATCATGCTCAGGACTATTTGGTCTTGCCAGTGAACTCATGGAGAATAGCTGAGCTGAGCCCTGACCACATGAGACACCCCTGCCACAGCTGACTTGGTCCTCTCTGAAGAAGGCTCTCTAGCCGAGAACAGCACCACTGGCTATCATTTCTTGAGCCTCTGTTACTACAGTACCTTGCTGACCAGACGTCTTCACAGTACACCTTTACCATGGACACATTTCAGGTGGCTGGGAACCTTACTTAGAAGCCGGCTGTGCTAAGTCTCTGAGGCTGCAGGTTCATTTTACCCACAAAAATCCCTTTCTCTGTGACTCGGGGAGCCTTCCTTGCTTTGTTTCACTTAAAGCAAATGTCCTGGGGGTGAAATGGAAAGAAAGGAACTTGTTGCCAGGCAGAGTTTTCATGTCAGAGGCCCACAGCCAAGTGAATGATCCAGGAAGTCATCCAGTTGCAAACCAGAAATTGTTCTTAACCCCTTTCTGTGTTGCATGGCCAGCTCACTGATTGTTCTCACAGGGAGAGTCTCTGGGTGTGGAGGACTCTGGGAACTGAGTTCTTGACTGGCCTCAAAGCCCCGAGGGAGTCATTTGATGTTGGAAGGCAGCGCCTGCCACTTGGTCCAAGAGAGCAGCCTAGGGTTCCTCCTGGTGAAGACTGGGTGTTGCCTCAGTGCCATGGAGAGGCTCTTGAAGTTTGCATGGTCTTTTGTATATTTGATGACTCATGTTCCTCATGCAGGACCTGCCAGGGAATAGCTTGGACTACTCATACTCTGCTACCTCCAGGTCGGCATAGTCACTTCTTCCCCGGCAGAGGTTGCTCTCTGATCACAGCTGCTGGTGAGCTTGTCAGGCAAGGGTTAACAGAGGATTTGTTTATTGAATCATGAAGTAGCTGTCACATGATTTTAATCAAAACACCATTTCCCTGACAACAGTGATGTCAGTTTTGTTGTTGCAGGAAGGAGCAGCTGTGAGGGACATTCAGTCTCCTCACTGAGCCCAGGTTTGGAGACTCAAATCAAGTGAAACACCCATAAATAATGGGTGCAGACACTGGGTTGACAATCCACCCTCCTCTTCCTTTCCTTTCTGCCTGGACAGTCTGTTCTGTATAGACACTGACCAGACTCAGTCCCTGCACTGAGTCTCAGCTAAGAGCTCACCTTCCCTGTCCCTGGCTCCCCCTACCCTTGGTTCTACTGCTGGTTTTTATTGGTGTTTCGCCTGTTTCTCCCACTCCGTCTCTGGTTTGTGCCTCCTGGCATTTGTCTCTTCTAGGATCCAAGCCAGCACTTGCTGGTGACCTAGGATGTTCTGGCTGGTCTGAGATGAGGCTGTCCTGCTAGGCATCTGGTTTATTCCTCAGACTGAGGGGCATACGGCTAACTGCTTGGGGATTAAGGGCAACTCCAAGGAGCCCAGCTATGGGTGTTTGAAGGGTAGGAGTTCAAGAGCCCAACTTCTTGGCCAAAGGATTAGTCTTGAACCCAGAAAGAATTGGCTCCATGATTTCATCAGGACTGCTATACACAAAAGCCCAGGGGTGTTTGATCACCCCTAGAGCCTTCCAGCTAAAGGAACTGGATTCCACTGGCCACTGACAGGGCAGAAGGAAGGATAGATGGGAATGAATGCATCACAGGCTAGCTGGAGCAGGTCCCTAGCGTCTCCTGAGACTCCCTGAGGACTGAGGAGCTGTCTGTGCAAAGAAAGACTCCTCCAGGCCTTCAAACCTTCTCCACCCATGAGTTTAATTAACTTCAAAGTTGGGGAGGAAAAGGCCGCCTAGATGGGACTTGGGTTACTGACTTTTGTTACTGTGATAAAACCACCTGAACAAAGCAGCCTAAGGGTTTAGATTGGCTCACAGCTTGAGGGGACAGTCTATGGCAGTTTGTCCCATGGTGTCTGCAGTCAGATCAGATGAATGCTGACAGCCTGCTGGCTTCCTCTTCTTTCCTTTTTATTCAGTACAAGACACCAGTCTATAGTATGGTCACCCACATTCAGGATGGTTCTTCCTCCAGAGTTAAGACATTTCTGGAAATGTCCTCACAGATAGACCCAGAGTGTCTCCTAGGTGGTTCCAAATCCAGTCATGTTGACAGTGGAGATGAACCATCAGATTCTCTGGGCGGTCTTAACATTGTGGTACTCAGGACCAGCCCTGCCCAGAACTCATTAACAAAAATTACAAAATCCCAGGTCTAAGTCGTCAGAACTGTTAATCACCTTTCTGTAACAAGAGACTTCCCAGGCAAGTGTATCACCATTTCCTACTGCAGTGTCTTACAAACTAGTTAAAGCAACACAGAGGAGTATTGTGACGAGCTGTCAAAGACAGTTGGAAGACCCTTAATGTTTTCATATTAGAGGACAGTGCAGAGTCAAGCTGTGTTCCCATCAAAGTTGGGGGCAAAGTCTTTAGTAATCTGTTTAAGTTAGTGGCAGGCCTGGGAGCTAAAGACTCAGTCCAGATTTCTTGCTGTTCCTATGCTATCTCTGGCAGTAAGGGGTGGTGCCACCTACCTGCAGTGCCTGTCTGGCTACCCCCTGGGTGGGACTGGGGAGCCAGCCTCTGTTTTCCCAAGCTTTGCTCTATACTGGCCCTTCATTTCCTGGGACCCTTCCAACTGCTTGCCTGTCCTTTGGCTCTCACTTTGATGACTACACTTTTGGGTTTCTGCAGTGACCTAAGGCAGTTACAGTGGGTCTCAGGCTAGACACACGCAAGACTGTGAACTGGGTCCCTTGCATAGTATGTTCTGTGGAAAGGCTTTGTCATCTCATTCAGTTGTATCTTATTCCATCAGCTTGGTGGGCAGCCTTGGGGTCAGAGTTCTCAGTCAGGCCCTCTCTTAGGCAACTCAGGCTTCTTTATCCCATCTTTGGGGGAATGAGATGGAAAATGGAGTAAGAAGCTTTTGAACCCTATCTGTGGAGGGAGTGACTCAGCTCATCAAGAGATTCAACACACAACTGCCTCATTTTCTCTGGGCCTTGAATTTTCTGAACATTCTGCCCAGCCAGTATTAGGGGCTTGGCTCCAGGGCAGTCCGCTTCTCTGCAAAGTCATTGCTCCTCCTCTTAAGTGTGTGTGTGTGTGTGTGTGTGTTTACCCCCTCATTGCCAAGCAGTCCAGCAATCCTGGGAAAGCCCATAGATACACATATAAAGGGAGGTAGGGAGGCTTGCAAGTAGACTCCTTAGGACACTGTCTGACCTCAGGTTCTGCCCCAATGATTTGTGGTCCCAAGCTTTGTGCCTGGATGGTGACAGGTGTGTCACCTCCATGTCTGAGGTGAAGGTCCATCCCCTCCTCTTATTGGACATCGCCTGAAGTAATCTATATACAGTGTTCCATTGCTCAAGAGCTGTTCAGCCTTTGAAATTTGTGGCTGGAGCCAAAGTGAAAAGGAGGAGCCATGCTTTAACGAGCCCAAGTGGAGCAACTACAGTCTGTGTGAGATTCTCTATGTGGCCATGTAGCACAGTGCTTGCTCAGGCAGCACCTTTGATAACACTGGAACAATACAGGGAGATTAGCATGGCCTCTACACAAGGATGACATTTGAGTTCATGAAGTGGTACATACATTATGGGAGGGATGGCAAGAGGGAAAGAGGGTGAATATGAGCAAAGAACTGGATATGTAGGTGTGAAGATGTCATGATGAAAGCCATTATTTCGTACACTGAGAAAACTGAATAATCACACCAACATCGAAAAATAACTTTAGTTCACAAAGCCCAGCCTTGCCCCTGTGAACTGCAGGCTGAGCTGGGGCTTCTTTCCTGAACCCACTTGGAGGTATGAGCACCCCTCAGGCAAGAGTGTCACTGTCAGAATCTTCAGACGGGGTGAACCTCTAGATCCTTGATCCATCCTCCTCCTAGAGACTGAATGTCTCTGTGGGGGAGATTTTTTGGGAAGAGTCCAAAGATTTCTCTGCACATCAAAGGACTGAGGAAGAAAGGAGAGGGCAGCTCCCAAGAATGAAGCCTGTTTGTTCGTACCTGGCCACAGGCTGACTGGCGGTTTTGGAAATGTGATTACTGCTGGCCTGTTGTGTCCCTGAGCTGGCCAAGCAGAGGCCACAGGGTAGAGCTCTGGCCTCTATGGCCCATTCTTTGCTGTTCTTCATAGGGCCCTTGTGCTTGCCATGGAAGTGAAGGGTGTCCTTAGACTTAGGGGAGGCCTGGGTGGTTGCCTATGACAACATTACAATGACAGAGTGATTCAACAGGCAAGGGTAAAGTTTGCAAAACAGTTACTGAAAGTGAAAAAACAAAACAAAACAAAACCCAAAAAACCCTGAAACTTGAATTTTCTTCCAAGGGGCAGAGCTTTGCACATGCACAGTGAGGGGTCTGTGCTCCCAACTCTGTATACACACTCACAGCCATCAGGCTTGCCTTAGTCTGAGAGCTGTTTCAGTTCTATATAATATTGGCCCAGGGGAATGGCTTAAGTAATGGAAACCAAATCTCAGCTGCACTCACTGCCAGAGAACAGGACTTAATCCTGCCCTTTCACTTGGGCTCTGGCCCCACAAGTCTAGAACATACGAAAGCAGCTTGGCAAAGGAATTCTCTAAAACCCTGAGGGCAAAGGGTTGTATCTTGTATCATAAAGGATGGCTGTCCCTGTGAGAAGTCCATGGTGTGTGTTGGAGGTGGGGGGTGTCACTTTCACAGACCCCAAAGAGGTGGTAACACTGTCACTAAGCAGCAGTGCTTTGCTGGCCTTCCTGGCAGTTTAGAGTACTTTACTTCCTATCCTCTATATTACTTGTTCTGTGGAGCCGTCAAGAGCAAGGTGTGCTTGTTTTTGTTCCAATTCCTGTGGCAGAGGTCCTAGTGCAGACTATTTGCAATGATGGGCTTTGTCCTGAGACTACCATTAAGGAGCACTGACCAGGCCCAGTGGGGCCCTGTCTGTATGCAGGCTGTGGTTAGCAGTGTTTCCATCAGTGATCTGTAGTGGCTAACGTGCACTCAGGCAATTTGGGGCGAGGTATTATTTACCCTGTTGACGTCAATGAGAACATATTATCCACTGTCCTTTCTGTAGCTTGAAATGAGCACCAGAGCTCAGAGAACACAGCTACCTTCCCCAGTTTGAAAACTACCCAGTACTCAATGAGGTGGAGACCTGCCTATAATCTCATTAACCTGACATTCACATCACCAGGCTTTTAGAAAACAAGGTGTTTTTATTTTAATTCAGGAGGGCTGGAAACATAAAGACAGTACATTTTCCTTGCAGAAAATTACTCCACTTAAGTTACCATTTGGTACAAAGATCATTTATTAAACTGCATTTTAGGCAATTTTCTAACACTGAGTGGCAGGTTACACTTGGATTTTCCACAGTGGAGCTATTAGGATTTGCACTCAAAATACCAAAGCTATCAAAGTCACCAATTTTTTTTCTTAGTAATTAAAAAGCACACAGAAAAAAAAATAATAACTACAATCAGGTTAAGTTTATCGAAAGTAACTCACAGACCAAGCTGAATCCAGCAAGACCACTCTCTTCCTTTCTGCAATAAGCAAACTTTGAATAAGAAAGGCCTTGCCTTTCTACAAAGTGCAAGTAACATCTACCACTTTGACTTCTTAAACACTGCAGTCCCCAAAGGCAAGCCAACATCCCTTTTTGTCTGCTGCTTTCTCCTTCACAGATTCTGGTAGAGGCATTTTTTTTTTCTTTTTCTTTTTTTCTTTTTAAAACCATGGGTAGTGGGGATGTTTAACCACTTGAATTTTCTTAACTGAGCAAATCCTGGGCATGCAGGTATCAGTTATCTGCACTTGCTAATGTAACATTATGCTATCCACCAGGGTGTTGCTTGTATTTCTATTTTTAAAGCTACCCCTACTCACCCATTTTGGTTCTGAAAAGACCTAGCATTCCATCAACAAAGCTCGTTAACATTTTGTAATCCTGAAAGTGTTTTATAAGCCTTCCTACTTGTCAGGACTTAATTGTAAGGAAATGTGCTGGGTGGTAGCGACACACACCTTTAATTCCAGCACTTGGAGATGGAGGCAGGCTGATCTCTGAGTTCAAGGTCTACATAGTAAACCAGGATATTCTAGGACAGTCAGAGCTACATAGTGAGACTCTGTTTCAAAAGACCATTTAGAAAAAGAAAGGGAGGAAGAAAAGGAAAGAAACAGGAAGGAAAGAAAAAAAGGAAAGAAATGTTCTACACGACATCCCTTTAGGATAGAGGTTGAGTTCACAATTCCCTGGGCAGCCATCTTCTCTGGGGTTGACTGTTGACTAAGAAAGCCCTCTGGCAATCAGGGAGGAGTGTGTCCTTCCAATATATACTGAACAAAAGCAACGGGTTACATAACTTTGAATAAACAAACCTCCTTAATTGAAGCCTAAATTTTTGAGATTTATTGGACAGCAAGATGGCCAATCTCTGGTGTCTGTGTCTCCTGCTCCTTGTCTGGTGCAGTCACCTGGATAACTGCAGTGGGCACTTAAAGCCAAGCAGCTGTCAGGTGGAGGGTGCAGCCATCTGGACAGCGCCTTGTTTACATAGCTGCCTGCTTACTATGAAAAGATGTGCTGCTGAAGGGGAGGGGCTATGGGACAGGGCTCCAACAAGGAGCAAAGCCAGAAGTCAGGCAACAGAGGTGCTTGTCTCAGCTGAGGTCACAGCTCAGAAGTGGTGATAGCTAAGTCATGTATCCTTTGAGAGCACTGCTTTCCTCAGCTGTGAGAAATACAGATCGGATCTCTCTAGCTAATTTCACAGAACTGGTGTGAGAACTGCAGGAGAGCACTTGTGAAAGTGCTTGGTATGTTGCTGTGAAAACGGACAGGCAAGCTGAGAGGGCAGGCCCTGTAAGAACCATCCTTAGTTAAGCTGTTGGGCAGTAATCCTACCTGTTTGTCAACCCATGCAGCCACAGGACCCAAATCTGCTCACATACAATGTGGACATAAGATGTGGTTGCAACTATGAAGGCTGGAAGTCTTCTAGAATCAATTAGACTGTTGTAACTGGGTAAAAATGGCTAAACAAATAAGTGAGGTGATGTTGGGAGATCAGAGACTTTAGGGCCAAAAGGGCCCTTTAAGGGTCATTGTCTCATTCCATTTGCGCGCATGTGTGTGTGTGTGTGTGTGTGTGTGTGTGTGTGAGAGAGAGAGAGAGAGAGAGAGAGAGAGAGAGAGAGAGAGAGAGATGTGTGTGTGAGTGAGAGAGAGAGAGAATGTGTGTGTGTGAGTGAGAGAGAGAGAGAGAGAGAGAATGTGTGTGAGTGAGAGAGAGAGAAAAAGAGAGAGAGAGAGAGAGAGAGAGAGAGAGAGAGAGAGAGAGAGAGTGTGTGTGTAAGCATTGAAGTGTGTTTTTGTCCAGTGTTGAAACAGGCTGATGATACTGCTCTTGTCTCCCACAAATCACTCTGAAGGTAAGTTCTGTAAAAAATTTCCAGAAGCAACAAAATGATCAAGATCCCTGCCTGGGCAATGACTCCAACTTACTACCTGTTCTCCAGTTTTTACCTTTGATGTCTAGGCACAGAGAGGCCGAGCGGCTCCAGTGGCTTCCAAGGAGGCAGTAGATGCAGCCCCGCTTAGGGGTACAAATGCAGCAAAGGTCAGCCCTGGCACAGGGACTCTGCAACTGCCCAGTGGGATCAGTGTCATCAAATGACACTATATATAGTTTCTAAAGGAGGAGGAATGTCAAAAAATCACCCGACTGTGAATTTTCTTTAAACCAGTAGAGAGCTTAAGTCACTGTTGATTTGAGTGTAAAAGTGTAATGCACAGCAGAGAGACTGGTCCTCATATATTTAAGCTGACTTGTTTAGAGGCTAAAGAACCCCAGAGTAAGGACAGCCTACTGAGTCCCCATGTCCTGATCAGCTGGTCTAGAAGCTGCTAATTTTTGGGTTCCTTCAGCTTCTGGCTCATCACTGTGTCACTTTCCAGCTGAGAACACACTCCTTAGTATCCCTGCCTTAGGTATAATGGCTCCTGGGGTAGAGGTAGAGAGGCCTATGATGAGTCCTTGCTGAGTGCCCTAGTTATTGGGCAGGGCAGAGGGTGTTGCTCCATGGGCTGGGTTGACGGGTGTATGGGGTAGGGGCACTGTAACAGTAAAGACTCAATTATACAAGTTAGGAGGGGGTGTGGCAGGCAAAGGCTGAAGTCCTACCTCCCTGACACCAGTTCAGGATTTAACACTTCTGATCTTGATTTTTGAGATAGAGGGTCCCTGGCTTTCTAATGTTACAGCCACTGCCTCCCAAGTGCTGGGATTAAAGGTGTGCACCATCACAGGCCGGCGGGGACCCTGGCTTTCTTTTTCCTAGGACACAAAGCAAAAGTAAGGGCTTTGCTCAGAGCAGCTCTTAAGCCTCACATCAGTCTCAAAGGCTCTTCCTGGGTTCTCTTTGTCTTCCATTGGGTAGATTCTGGAGGGTTTGTTCCCAAGGTAGCAGGAAGGAAGTTCAGGCAGGCCCAGTCAGGGCAGGGTTAGGGCTGGCATTGGTCAGGCAGCTCCCTGGGAATAGAGGAGTGGGAGCCCAAAACTTGTCTTCCTGCTGCATTAACACCCTTTATTTGC